TTTTGCAGTGCCTCAGTCCCTGTCCTTTTACCATTTCCTATCTATTTTGTTATTTCAGACATCTTTGATCATGTATTCAGAATTGTACTTATTTAGTGGTTGCTCGTGTACTTGTGCCACCTAATTCATGGGGACCGTACCATTTTGGTCATGTTTGGACCATGTTATGACTATATAAGATGTTTTACTATTTTGAGATTATTCCTGTCTTTATTTATGATATGATTCTATTAATTAAGGGAATCTGAACAATATTTTATTGATTGTGAGTTAGCTTCCTTAGAAAGTATGGTCATGCTCCATCACGGCCTAAGGTGGGATTTTGGGTCGTGACAAGTTGGCATTAGATCCCTAGGTTGTGTAGGTCTCACCAGTCACGAGCAAGAGTAATAAAGTCTTGTGGATTGGTACGGAAACATATGTACTTATCTCCGAGAGGCTACAAGATTTTAGAAAATTTCCATTTATTTCATTCTTTATCGTGCGACATTATTGATCCGAAGTTCGAATCCTTGTCTTTTTATTATCTCACAGATTGTGAGAACACGTACCTCAAGTAGTGGCAATGAGGCACTAGTCGCACCGGCCATGAGAGGCAGAGGCGGAGGTAGAGATGGAGTCGGTACTAAGGATCTCACGGTTCCCCTAGAGGTAGATCATCTACTATAGCTCGTGGTTGGGCTAGAGTAGCTTCAGTTGATCCTCCAGCAGTCCCGGTTGAAAAGCAGTCCCTAGTCCAAAGGTTGAGCCAGTTTGACCATCTCAGGTACCAAATGGTTTCTTGCTACCCCATTACTTCAGGATGCTCTTGTTCATTTGGTTGGATTTGTGGAGTGTTTGACGTGGGCTGGGGTACTTTCTGTGGTACAGGCTACTTCTTAGGCTGGGGGAGGAGCACATACTCCTACCAATCATATTCCTGAACACTTTTCTGCCATGTATCACATACCAGGAGTAGTACCGATTGGGGGACATCCTCTGGTGGTTGCTGTTAGGCTAGTAGTGGAGGCTGCTATGTCTAAGGAGGAGCATAAGAGGTTTGATAGGTTCAGGAATATGGGTCCTCCACTGTTTGATAGTGATCCTTTGGCTGATGCACTAGAATTCTTAGATGATTGTCAGGAGATTTTGTGGAATATTTGTTTGGTTGAGTTGAATGGGGACAATTTCACTACTTTCCAGCTCAAGGGGCCAGTCAAGAGGTGGTGGCAGTCATATCAGCACAGCAGGCCAACAGGGTCACTTCCACTCACTTTAAGTCAGGTTTAACATCTCTTCTTAGAGAAGTTCATTCCTCTCACGTAGAGAGAGAGGATGCATGGCCAGTTTGATCAACCTTCAGCAGGGTCGTATATCTGTGACCGAGTATGAGATGAGATTCACTGAGCTATCTCGTCATATCTTTTATGACCCCCAAAGAGGTTGAAAAGGTGAGGAGTTTCACAGAGGGTTTGAAATTTTGTATGAAGATCGCTATGGCTATAGAGGAAGAGACTGGGACTATATTCCTTTAGGTTGTAGACATAGGATGCAGGATTGGGCACTTCGGGGACAGGGTAGGCAGGCCATGGTGATGAGAGCCAAGAGGTCCCGACATTCGGGCACTTTCAGTGGTACATCGTCTGGAGGTAAGGATCATTCTAGGAGAGGCCATTCTAGCATTCCAGTTCCTTCAGCTTATTAGCCTGCTCGTGGCGCTTCAATTTAGTCTTCATTCCATGTATTACTAGTGCAGAGTTCCCACAATACTCCTTCTGTCTAGATTTCTTCTAGTGAGTACTCTGGTTAACTGAGGTTGCCTAAGATTTAGTAGCCATTCTCAGCTCGAGGTTATTTTGAGTGTGGAAAGGTGGGTATAGTAAGAAGGATTTCCCAGATATGGTAGAGGCGCAACACCGCGGGGTTCTCCAACCATAACTCCACTGCAAGTTATTACACTACCATCCTCACCAACTAGAGGGGGAGCCCAGGAAGTTAGGGGACATCCCAGAGGTATAGGTCAGTCAGGCGGTGGTCAGATTTGTTTTTATTCATTTCGGGTAGACCCGAGGTGTAGATTTCTGATGTAGCTATTACCGATATTATTTCAGTCTATTATAGAGATGTATCAGTTCTATTTGATCCCAATTCAACATATTCCTATGTGTCATCGAACTTGGCATTACATTTGGATTTGCGTCGTAGTTCTCTTGATATCCCTGTTTATATATCTACATATGTTGGTGACTCTATTATGATTTATCGTGTCTATCGGTCTTACATGGTTACCAATTTGGGGTTATGAGACTAGTGTCGATCTTTAGTTGCTAAGTATGATGGACTTCGATGTAATTTTGGGTATCGATTAGTTATTTTTGTATCATGTGATTCTTGATTCTTATGCTAAGATTGGGACGTTGGCTATGCTAGGGTTGGGAGTTAGAATGGAGAGGTTATCTTGGTCATACTTCTAGTAGAGTGATTTTATTTCTGGAGGCTCAGTGGATGGTTGAGAAGGGAGGTTTGGCGTATCTGGCCTTTGTTAGGGATATTAGTGTTGATACTCCTACTGTTGAGTCAGTTCCAATAGTGAGGGAGTTTTCAGATGTATTTCTTGTAGACCTACCGGGTATGCCACCCGATTGGGATATTGATTTTGATATTCATTTGGTACCGGGAACTCAGCCCATATCTATTCCACCGTATCGCATGCCTTCAGCTGAGTTGAAGAGATTGAACGAACAATTGCAAGTGTTGTTGGATAAGGGGTTCATCAAGCCAAGTGTGCCACCTTGGTGTGCACCATTGTTGTTTTTGAAGAAGGATAGTTCTATGAGTATATGTATTGACTATAAGTAGTTGAATAAGATGACTGCCAAGAACAAGTATCCATTGCCTCGCATTGATGATTTTTTTTATCAGATTCAGGGTGCCAAGGTGTTTTCGAAGATTGAATTATGATCGGGCTATCAAAAGTTGAAGACTAAGGCTTCGGTCATACCAAAGACAGCTTTCAAGAATCGTTATAGGCATTATGAGTTTTTGGTGATGTCTTTTAGTTTGTCTAATGCCCTAATAACTTTCATGCATTTGATGAACAATGTGTTCCAGCCTTATTTGGATTCTTTTGTTAATGTGTTCATTGATAATATCTTGGTATATTCCCGTAGTTCTAAGGATCACGAGCAACATTTGAGGATTGTGCTCCAGATTTTGATGGATAAGAAGTTACATGCTAAGTTCTCTAAGTGTGAGTTTTGGTTGGACTCGGTGGCATTATAGGGACACTTAGTGTCTAGTGATAGGGTCAAGTTGGATACGAAGAAGATTGAGGCAGTTCAAGTTTGCCCAAACTTTTTACCTCTATAGAGATCATGAGTTTCTTAGGTTTGGTTGGGTATTAACGTCGCTTCGTGGAGGGGTTTTCATCTATTTCTGCTCCTTTGACCGAGTTGACTCAATACTACTTTGACTACGGCTCCAGTTTTGGTATTGCCTATAGGATCGGGGATGTATATTATTTATTGTGATGCTTTGCGTGTTGGCCTTGATTGTGTGTTGATGCAGGACGGTAGGGAGATTGCCTACGAGTTGCGCCAGTTGAAACCCCATGAGAAGAACTATTCGATGCATGATTTGAAGTTAGCAGTTATTGTGCACGCGCTCATGATTTTGAGGCATTACGTGTATAGCGTGTCTTGTTAGGTTTACACAGATGATCAGAGTCTTCAACACTTGTTCAAGCAAAAAGATTTGAATTTGAGGCAGCAAAGGTGGTTGGAGTTATTGAAGGATTAGGATATTACTATCATGTATTATCCCAGGAAGCCTAATGTGGTAGCTGATGCCTTGAGTAGAAATGCGAGAGTATGGGGAGTTTGGCACTTATTCCAGCTGTAGAGAGGCCTTTTTCTATTAACCCATCCTGAAACTAAGTCAGTACCCAGTAGCCCAATCTCTCCCGACTCAAACCATCCCACCGGAGACCGACAACGTCTCCTATATAAAGGATCATACGGAGCCATCTGAATGCTCGATTAGTAGCTGTTGTTATAGGCAAACTCTACAAGCGGCAGAAACTGATCCCTTGAACCCCCAAAATCTATGACACAAGCACGTAGCATATTCTCTAATATCTGAATAGTGCGCTTGGACTTTCCGTCCGTCTGAGGGGGGACTGTTGTACTTAACTCAACCTGGGTGCCCAACTCTCGCTGCACTGCTCTCCAAACTGTGATGCAAACTGCATGCCCCGATCTGAAATGATGGTCACCAGCATACCGTGAAGGCGAACAATCTCGCGGATATAGATCTCATCCAACTGCTCCGAATAATAAGTAGTCCCAACTGGAATGAAGTGTGCAGACTTGGTCGACCGATCCACAATCACCCAAATAGCATCAAACTTCCTCGAAGTCCGTGAGAGCCCAACCACGAACACTACAAGAATAATGACTTCTAGGGACGAGAATAATGGTCCCTAAAAGCCTAATTCTGGTCCTAGAATATCTATAGCGACCAGTTAAAACTGGTCGTCACCGGTCACTAGATCCTCCGTCGTTAATAGCCTTTAAAGACAGGTTTGACATCTAGTCCCTAAATATGTTTGGCAACCAGACTAATACTGGTCCTTGAAAGGTATTAACGACTAGTTGTAATGTGGTCCTTAAATAATTTCAGGGACCAGAAATATGGTCTTTACTGTAAATCAATATCGTGTAATATTTAGTGTCTTTAAACATTTAGCGACGAGTTTACTGGTTCTAAAATGCTTTAAGGACAAGAAGATCTAGACTTTAATTTTATTAAGGACCAAGCATGGGTGGTCCTAAATTCTAATTTTTCATATATATATATATATATATATATATTCTACAAATAGAAAATTTACACTACAAGAAAGTGAACTTTTTGCGACGATATTTAGGGGAGACCTTAATTATTGCCACAAAAGTTAAACTATTTATAGCGACATCTGTTATCCCTATAGTAGGTACACTATTAGTGGAGACTCTGTTTAGTTCGCCACTAATATGTGCTGAATCTTTCATTCCCGCTAACGGAAAAATTTTGACTCCAAAGTTTTAGTGGCAACTCTGAAGTAGTCGCCTCTGAAGGGATTCTGTGGCGACTAGGTCGCCTCTAAATCTCGGCTTTGAAAAATAAAAAACTAAACAAGTCCTAATTGAAAAGAAGGAAGCACAGCCGTATCTTTCTTTGCTCTGTTTCTCTCTCGAAATTTCTCCATTTTTTCTCATCTCAAATTTGTCAAATTCCGCTCCCAAAATGTGAATCATATGTTAGAGACCCAAAATCCTTAATCACTAATTGTGACTCCATCAGGTATTTGCTCAAATCCTAAATCCTTTTCGTTGATATATGCAGTTAGCCTTGAAAATCTAATTCCGCCTCTAAGTTAAGTGACCCGTTTGAAATACAGGAATAGCAATAAATTCATACAGGAACAGTCATGTAAAGCTCTTATCTGTGAGGAATCGACGGATTACCTATTTTGTGATTCTCGATCTTAACAGTCATTTCTCAGCTCTCTCTTTCTCCGGGTACGGTGAACATTTCTTTTAAAGATTCGAGACATTTTTGTGCTATTATTGTGATTGCATGTTTGGTATACTAATCTTTTTATTAAAATTAATGCGTAGGAAATGTTGAACTCACAAAAGTATCCGATTCAGTATTGAGAAGTACACAATTGGAAAAGAGATATCGAAGGCTAGGGTTTAGACAATGTATTTTGTATTAATTATTAAAAGTAATTAAACAAGAATATGCTCTCATGTACATGCAGCGGCGGACCCACGTAGGATCAAGTGGGTTCAACTGAACCCGCTTCTGTAATGACTCGGTCGGTCGTTTCAAGTATTACAACTTCGTCTCCTCATTTACTGCTCAAGTTATGATTTTCAGTTATTTTATGATTTACCGGGTTAATTGGTTCGGGTCCGGTGAGGTTTGGAATGATTTGGAACACTTAGTTCGAAGGTTTAAAAAAAACTTAAGTTGAAAAGGTTTTTGTGGTGCTGAGGTAGATCGCGGCTCGGACTTTTTGGGTCTAACAATGCACCAATGTGTAAAGAAAATTTTTTGTCGGAAAAGGGTCATTTCTGCGGCGCACTATGCGGTCGCAGAATCACTCTACGGACCGCATAATGGCCGCAGAGTGAATCAGGAGTGGGGCAAGTATGGAGGAAAGTTTGCGGCGCATTAAGCGACCGCAGATCAATTATGCGATGCATTAAAATAGGTTCTTGCCTTTTAAATAAGACTGTAAAGTCCAAATTCAAAAAAAGATCATATTCTATACAATAGAGCAACCAGCAAAGATCATACATAATCAAAGCCAGAAACGAAACTAAGAGAGTCAATACCTTTAATTATCTTTTAGTATTTGAAACTATACGAAGGAAATGGATCCTCAGTCAAGAAGTGAGAACAGAGCCAGATTCAAAAGTAATGCACCAAGAAGGTTAGCAGAAAGAGAACATATAAAACCAAAATTTATACTTCCATAATAACTCATAGAAAGAGATTACGACTTCCAAAGGACATACTTTTTCGTGCTGGGAGTAATAGGATTGTCCCAAATATGTAATAAAGGAAATGCTGTACAAGTTGCTCTAATCTGTAACCAATAACCATACACATGCAAGAAACAAAACCATAAATTATAGATAGGAAAAGAAGAGTTTTTTCAACCGCATACTTGGATTTTAGTACAAAAACAAGCACATTCAATTTCCTATACTGAGTGTAGTCATGTCCTTTAGTAATACGCAGGAACGGGACCGAATATTTATTCCCCCTTACTCTTTTTTACCAGTCTCAAAGCAAAAGAGAGAAAGGAGGATGAACATCATTTATGGTATACAAACATATAACTTATAACATGTTACATTTTTGGTCAGAAGGTATATTATAAGTTTTCCACTAACATGTTTTCCCGTGAAACACATTTGCTAACAAAGGAGAATATAATCCCATATACCCACATGAAACACATTCATACATTCAATATAACACGTTGAAGATAAACAATTAATGGAATACAGAACAGCTGAAGTTTTACTTTTGATTTAGAAGGATCAAACTGAAATTCAGAGGTTAATCAGAAACAAAAAAAAATAACTCAAGTATATTTAAGAGGGTTTGAATTCGTTTTGTTGATGGTGAATTAGAGTTCTGTGATGACCCAATTTTCCCTCCGTTAGGTATCGTGATGGCACATAGTCTTAGGGACTAAGTAATCCTAATATTTACTGAATAACAACAATGATTAAATAACATCTAACAATTTCTGAAATGGAAATCCCTATAAAATTTACAATTCCCAAAACCAGTAGTACAAGTCATAAGCTCTACAGAGTTTGTTACAATTTTCTAAATACAACTGTTTGAAATAAAGTAAACAGTGAGAATACAAATCAGAAGGTGACTCCGAAACCTGCGAACGTAGCAACAAGTTTACCTTGAGTCTCCATAGCAACAATCCGCACAACTAGCTAATGATCAACGGACTTCGAAATATCTGAATTTGCACAAAAATATGCAGAAGTGTAGTATGAGTATACCACGACGGTACCCAGTAAGTATCAAGACTAACCTCAGTGGAGTGGTGACGAGGTACAGTTAAGACACCTACTGGACTAAATAACCTGAACAAGTATAAGTATAGGAACAATAGAGTATGATATCTACATAAGGACTATGCGAAATGGCAAATAATACGGTAATTTCAGTAAGAAAGGAAAACAACAACTACCAGCAGAATACCATAGTAATGACATAGAAGAACGAACGGAAGCACAACCTAAATCCGATGAACACAATTAAAAGAAGGGCAGGTAACAGCTAGATGAAAGCAACCACTTTCACACTAGGTTTTAGTAAATAAACTCCACGAGGTATCGAACCTCATATTATTCACAACTCACGGGTCCCAATACCTGAACCCTCACACTGGGCATCTTGTGCCCTCATTACACTTCATAACCGCACTGACGACTCATGTGCCAAATAGAGCCATTCTCATATAGAAGGCAAGTAACAAGGATGTGCATCTATACTCAGCAATATCAAGAAAACCTCTTAACCGATGAGAGTGCTCAACTACGTGTATGCTTGTGCAAGTGTCCTAACACGGTTCATGCCAGCTAGTAAGTATAGGAAAAGAAATGGACAGCACATAGAATGTTTTCTCACAACTTTCCACAAGATAAAACTCACACGGGTAAATGTACTACTACACAAACATTAACAGCAAGAATGCCCTCAGGCCATCACAAGTCATCACAAATCAATCCCTGACACAACCCACCTTGTCTCGCCATGTGTGCNTGCAAGGCAGAAACCTCGTGCATCACAATAACAACAATTGCACGACAGAAACCTCGTGCATCACAACAACAACTAGAACAACAACGATGACAATAATACAAGGGTACGGCAAATAAGTCAACTCAGAGATTCCAGAACTCAAAGAAATAAAGGAACTAATTTACAGGGAGTAGCCACAATCGAGGAATGCTAGTCATAATAAGAACATCTCAACAAGAAAGGAAATACTATGTAACAATGGTCCACAAAATATAGTTCGACAACGAGGGAGCTAACACAAGTCCAATAATTTCAAATAAGGACAAGTCAACCAAAATATAGGATATCTAACTTCTTTCAAGGTTGGGCAATTATGAAAGAGATCAACAAATTCAACTAAGAAGAAACAGCGGAAGGATAATCATAACCTCAATTAAGGCTGAACAATTACAGAAGAGATAGTAATAATTTCAATTAAAGATAAGCAGTTAGGAAAAGGATAACATGGCAATAGAAAGGCAACAATTTCAGTTAAGGCACATACGAATCAAATAAGCAATAATAGTGAATCATGAAGCAATTAATTATAATTAAGCAGGTAGAGGTGAAACTAGTAATTAAGAAGCGTAATCATAACAAGAACAACTGCATATTCAGTGAATACAAGGGCCTAAGAACCCTAAAAGGCTAATTTCCTACAAATAAGTCTGAGCACGTATTCGTCACCTCGCGTACACGGACTACAATTAGCAAAGAAGACTCAAATCCTAAGGGGTAGTTCCCCCACACGAAGTTAGGCAAGATACTTACCTCAAAGAAGACAGACCGATACTCAAAAATGAACTTCTCAGGTGAAATGGCCTCCGAACGGCTCAAATCTAATCAAAATAACTTCAAAGCACAAATAAAACTCATAAAACTATTCCGAATCATAAAGCCTAAATCTTTATCAAAATCTAAAAATCGACCCCCGGGCCTGCACCTCGGAACCCGACAAATCTCACAAAACCCGAACACTCATTCCGATACGAGTTTAACAATTCTAAAATTATCAAATTCTGATACCAATTCGTCCCTCAAATCATAATTTTTCATTTTGAAAATTTTCTTTAAAAACCTCCATTTTCCTTAACTCAAAACACAAATAAAATGATAAAAATAAAGATAAAATCATGGAATATAATAAATTCTAAGTGAAGAATACTTACCCAATCGATTTACTTGAAAAATTCACAAAGAATCGCTAAAAACCGAGCTCCACAAGTCAAGATATGATAAAAATGGCCTACCCTCGATTTGGAAAATATATTCTGCTGCCCAGGTGATTATGCATCGTGAACGCAGAAGAACAATCACGTTCACGAAGAAGAAAAATGGGTGCTGTCCAGTTTGTGCTTCGCGAACGCGACAACACGCTCGCGAACTCGGAGAAGAAAAGTATGATGGCCCAACGACTGCTCTTCGCGAACGCGTGAAGTAGTGCGCAAACACGAAGAGCGGAATGGCATAACTACGCGAACGCGAAGAAGGGAAGGGCTTGCTTCCGCGATCGCGAAAGGACGCATGCGAACACGAAGAACAAATATTCCTTCCTCCAAAATTACTCTTCGCGAACGCAGAGAAACAGACGTGAGCGCGAAAGAGAAAACCAAATGACAGATTCAGCAGTTCAAAAATAGAAGAAAATGGCCCGTAGCCCATCCGAAACACACCCGAGGCCCCCGGGACCCCGTCTAAACATACCAACAAGATTCATAATCTAACACGGACTCGCTCGAGGACATCAAACAACGTCGAAACTATGAATCGCACCATGAATCGAACTTATGAACTTTCAAATCTTCCAACTTCTAAAACTCGCGCCGAAACCTATCAATCAACTCGGAATGACGTCAAATTTTGCAGGCAAGTCCCAAATGACATAACGGAGCTGTTCCAACTCTCGGAATCGCATTCTGACCCCGATATCACCAAAGCCAACTATCAGTCAAACATATCCACCTTCCAAACTTCAACTTTTTCCAACTTTCGCCGAAATGCTTCAAATTATCCTACGGACCTCCAAATCCAAATCTGGACGCACTCCTAAGTCCAAAATTACCATACGGAGCTATTGAAATCATCCAAAACCCATTCTTGAGCCGTTAACACAAAAGTCAAATTCCGGTCAACTCTTACCGCTTAAACTTTCAAAATTTGAATCCTTCTCCCGATTTGACTCCGAATCATCCGGTAACTGAACTCGACCAGGCACGCAAGTCAATACACATAATACGAAGCTGCTCAAGACCTTATGCCGCCGAACGGGACTTAAATTCCCAAAACGTCTGACCGGGTCGTTACAAGTTCACCTCTTTAATGTTATATAGTGGTTACAAACCATAACATATAACGTCAGTAGATAGACCGTCAGTATTTCCTTTATTATTATCCATATCTTTGTTTTTTGTATCAGATTTATTCTGTTTCTTGCTAGTAAGAACTTGTTGTTTCTTGGTCTGCTCAAACATACCACAATTTTATTTCTTGGTACCACCCCACTTTTTAATGCAACACCATACAAGTAACAACACCATACTCATTGATCAACAAGTTAAATGGAAAACTACTGGGAGATTTTTCAGCTTTAAAAAGCTCTTCTTTAGCTATTATAGTAACATGAAACTTGCTAACTCATTCAGTAATTTATACTAGTTGCAGCAGTCTAAGATGTTCACCCGTTGAGAACAGGCTTACAAGTTGTAACAGCATAGTTGAGACTAGTTGCAACAATCTCATTATTAGTTGTGCAACTAAAACACATCTTTTAAGCCAAGTAACACACTAGTTGCAAGAGAATTTTACTAATTGCAACAATGTATTGTATTCAAATATTTATTAACTAAAAAATGATTGAAATGAGTAAGTTGTTACTAACTTCGTATGTTCATCAATGGTCATTCTCCTGATATAGTGATGCCGAAGGCTGGACATTAGCGTGTTGAGCCACCAGAGGCTGGACATTAGAGTGTTGACTTAAGAAATATTCTTTTAGTTCCTTCAGTTCTTTCACCTCATCTTATACAGTAGACAATCGATGCTTCAATGATTGGTTTTGCTCTAGAACTGAACGTATCTCAGATCTTAATTCGGCCTTCGAGGAACCACCATCTTTCAAGTCTTTTGCTTTTACTCCACCCCAAAGCCAAATACATGACTACGAATTTGAGGTCCAAAGCATTTTTACACTATCTCTATGTTAGGAAGAGATGGTTCGGGCTGCACCAATTCTTAGATTTGAGCCTTTAAAATATATAAAGAAAATTTTCCATTAGAACCAATAACTAAAAGTTCTTACATGTTTAATTAATAAAACGCACATGTTTTACAATTGTCTCGGATTTAACAAGCTTCTTGTTCTTCTTGCGAGTCTAAAAACAAATAGCTGCCAAATCTGGTGGATTGCCATTTTTCTCGCCCTTCACATTAAAGTCAAAATGTCAAATAATGCCTCCCCAATATTTAAAAAAAAAATAGATATGATAACACCTTTTGATAAATAATTGCTCTAATAGGCTTGCAACCAATATCACGAGGCATCTTCAACTTAGCTCTGTTTGTTGCGTTCCTGTTGCTTTTTGCCTGTAAACTTTCTGTACAAAAATATTCTTTTACCAACCACTCCCATTGTTTCTTGTCCACTCCCTTTGGTATATTCTTAAGAGTTTCTTGGATCATCTTACCCCTCACGTACTTTGCATGCAATTGTCCTCTCCATTTGTTCCACAATTCTTTCGTCCATCCCAAAATATGATTGCGATGAATATCTAGGTCATCACACACAAATTTCTCATACAATAAATTAAACATATCATAATACACACTTTAGCAAAACGTATAAAACCTTCATGATTGATAGAACATAGAAAAAGAAATTGATAAAACTAATTTAGCAAAAGAAAATTGTAAGGTTCTGAAAATATATTTTGAGTTCTAGCAAGTAACTTATAAACAAATTGGACACATTTGTTACCTCAATAGCTGCCCACATGTGATTTAGTTTTTCTTCTTTAATATCATCCCATGATGATACTCCCAACGGACACATATTACGATCACAAACTATTATTCCCAAGTGCCTCGAAAATAGACTGCTATTCTTTCCAACAGTTCGATTATTGTAAAATGTTACTTTCAACTTTTGTCCAACTTCAAGTGATGCAACTTCTTTACACTTGTTCCTTCCTTTTACTTTTTTTACCTTTTCAGTAGTACCTGAACCTGCGTTGCACGATTTAGTAATATCTAAAACTATTGTATGTCTCAAGTAAATCTGTCAAACCATACATGTTTCAACTTTTTGCATAACTTGATCAGTGGGTGGAGGAAATGGAGTCTCAGTTTGCATCTGATCTTTCCTAGGAACAAATGAGTTTTTCTTTGTAGATGCAGAGAATAGAATATCAGTAGATGGAGGCAATGAAAAATTAGTTTGCATCTGCTCTTTTTCAGGAACTATGGAGCTTTTCTTTGCTGCTTGCACTCGACCACCAACAGATATGAGAGAATTTGATCTTGTACCATTAGAAGATATTAACATACGTTGACTTCCTTCACAAGTAGAATGTTTAGGCATACTTTGAGCAGTACGAAACGTATTTTGATGGAAGGATTCCGCCTTATTCCCAGACGCTCCTAAAGAGCACACTGATCTTAGCCCTTGCTCTCGTCCCTTTGCTAGAGCACCTGGTGGAAGGAATCCATATTTGGTAGCCTTTGCAGTGGATCCAACCTCAATTTCAAGCTTTGATCTTTTCATGTTAGGCCTACAAAATAATCAGAAGAAACCAAAATAAGAATGACATAATGAAAATAATGTAATAACAGAAATATCATGCAATCAGAATGTAAAACAGTTAATATATCAATACATAAAGAGATGTTTTACCTCATCCATTCTTTTTCGTTTTTTTTTGTGAAGGATTTTCTCAATCTACAGTACTGCCATCTATTTGTTGCACAATCTCATAAGAATCACGAGGTTTCGTCTTCCTCACCACACGCCAACACTGGAATTGTCATTAGCATAAAATACTTGAGATTCTTGGTCCGCTAATACAAAAGACTCATTTATTTTTAAAAATTGCCCCCAACTAACACTAATAAATTCATATTCATTTTATTTAACTCATTGTATTTTATCATACACATCAAACCAATTACATCGAAACAAAATCACTCTTCTACCAGGGACAAATTGCAATTCAAGTATATCCGTCAAAACTCCATAGTAATCAAAGTTCTCGCTATCTTTATCAGTCGCACCAACTACAACTACCCCACAATTTTGAGTCTTTAACTGTTTATCATGATCTTCCACATGAAATCTGTACCCATTAACAACGTAGCCATTGTAACGTCTCACATATCCGGTCGGACCACGTGAACGCGAGAGTAAATCTTTCATGATCTTACTATTATCTCCTTTATGGAATTGTGGGACCTATCAACAAAATTAAATTAAACACTTTAGTATAATTAATATAATATTAAATTTTCATATTTAAAGTCTACCTATTACTCACCCTATCTTTAAACCACTCAATAAATTGTCTGTTACATTCTGCATCGGACAAGTGTTGAAGATTATTGACATGAATTTGTGCAAAGTCTCTACAAAATTTTGATCAACCACAAATGTCATACGGAAGGAGAATGTATTTTTTCATACTCGAGATATGGTAGAACTTCATCGCAATTCTTCAGTATGTATATATGTGCCTATTCCAATTCATTTGCATCAAGTTCCATTTGTTTTCCAGCCACTAAAGTTTTTCCAGGTTGAAAAAATAGAGATAAATCTCCAGTAGAATTCTTTAAACCACCTTCATAATTTCGTTCAGGCCAATTGAACTTTGGGTCAATTTTATGCGGATACCTTGAGCATAAGATCATGCATTCAGTTGCAATGTATCCCTCTGCAATAGACCCTTCTGGACTAGCCCTATTACCAATAAGATATTTCAAAAAATATAGCCATCACTCCACATGATACATCCGACGGTAATGAATAAGCCCCGTAATCTTAGCTTCATTCGCTAAATGAATAGGCAAGTGCACCATGAAATCAAAAAATGAAGGAAGGAATACTATTTCTAACTTGCAAAGAGTTGGAGGAATTTAGGCTTCAATTTGCTCCAACTCTTCCCTACTTAACTCCTTTGATCCAAGGACATTAAAAAATAAAGATAACTCAATAAGTAGTTCACACACTTATTTGGACAACATACCACGTAGTACAAGTGGAAGTAAATACTATAAAATAATATGACAATCATGACTCTTTAAGCCAGAAATCTTGTCATCTTTCATATTCAAACATTGGGAAACATTAGATGAAAATCCATCTGCGACTTTTAAATTCTTTAAGAAAAGGTATAACTTGTGCTTTTCTTCAAGAGACAATGTGTAACATGCAATTGGAACTTCTTATTTTCCCTCTTTTTTGATTGGGTGCAATTCCGGCCTAATGTTCATTTCTTGCAAATCTAGCCGAGTTTTAGTTGTGTCCTTGGTCTTTTCTTTGGCATTCATGATAGTCACCAAATGTTATCACATATGTTCTTCTCAATATGCATAGCATCCAAATTATTTCACAACAAAAGAGATTTCCAATATGGAAGTTCAAAAAAAATACTCTTCTTGTTCCAATTATCCTTTCGAGTATCATGTGATAATTTGATTCGTTTCTTGGGATCCTTTGTTAATCGTAGCCCTTCAAGATCTTGTATTTGATTAAGCATCTCAATACCAAAACGCTCTTTTGGTGGGAGCCTTCTCTCTTTTGTGCCATCAAATGACTCCTTATCATTCCTTCATTTATGATTTAGAGAAAGGTAACGCCGATGACCCATAAAACATTGCTTCTTACTATTAGTTAATCTAATTGAGGAAGTGTCTTAGTTACAACATAGGAATGCCAATTTCCCATTTGTGCTCCATTCATATAAATTTTCATATGCTGAAAAGTCATTGATGGTCCATAACAAAGAAGCGTGCAACTTAAAATTCTGTTTGGTTGATGCATCAAAGGTCTCAATACCAATTTCCCATTGCTCCTTCAATTCGTCTATCAAGGGTTGAAGATAAACATCAATTGCTTCTACAGGACTATCTGGACCTGGAATAAGCATTGACAAAATTAAATTTTCTTGCTTCATACACAACCAAGGTGTTGATTATAAGGAATAAGTACCACATGCTAGATGCTATATGGAGTTTTTGAATTTTAAAATGGCTGAAATCCATCACTAGCAAGTCCAAGTCAAACATTATGAGGCTCGGCTGCAAATGAGGGATGAAGTTCATCAAAAGACTTCCATGCCATTGAATCAGCTGGGTGCCTCATCGTTCCATCATCAACTCTTTCATCTTGAGGCCATATCATTAGAGAAAATGTCTTTGAAGACATAAATAACCTCTGAAGCCTAGGCTTTAATGGAAAATAGCGTAAAGTCTATGATGCTACCCTTTTACCATTTTTTTATTCCTTGTTTTCCCGCTATGTTTATCCAATTTCCATCTGGACGCGCCACAAACTTTGCACGATTCAAATAGTTTATCCTCCTTCATATATAACATGCAATTGTTTTTACAAGCATCAATCTTTTGGTAAGAAAGCCCGAGATCTCGAATTACCTTCTTTGCCTCATAATATAAACCTGGCTAATTAGCTCCATTAGGCAATAACTCATCCTTTAACATTTTTAATAACATTGTAAATGACTCATTACTCCAACGAGCAATACTTTTTATGTGAAGCAAGTAAATCATCAGAACCAATGTCCGTAGTGCCTCCATCAATATTAGCATATAAATCACTCAAAATTTCTCGTATTTCATCATCACTTTCATACTCCTCTACTTCATCATCATCTTCATTTTCACATTCAGATTGTGGCTCAAACTTCTCCATGATGATACCAAAAAGTATAATTTTGAATTATTCCGTATACTTTCAAATGTGCATCTACAATCTCACGTGTTCCTAAAGTTGTGTTACAACATTTGAGACATGGACATGGTATTTCACACATTTCTCTTGTTATTCTAAAAGCGCAATCCAATAATATTTGTACACAATTTAAGGAGGCTTCATCAACTCAATTATCAACAAGTTGCATCCACTACTTACTTGGTGCCATAACCTTGGAGGTTACATAAGAATTAAATTAGAAAAAAAATATAGGACAATGAATGTACTCTAAGATGCACATAACCTTTTAGGAAAAATGATATAACTGAAAAAGAGGTTTCTGTAAGAAACAAAGTGTCTTGATCCATACGAAGTTGTGACTAATTATCCAGAAAAGCTGATACATATAAGAAACTAAAACTAATAAAATATCACTAGAATGAGATAAGCTACAAATTAATTGTCGAAATAGACATAACACGCAATTTCTCTATTCAACACTCATCAACTAGTGTACTTTTTACACATCAATAATTTCTTGGGTCCATTAGGAGTACATTCCTTTCCGGACAATGAGCTAGAATTAACAATTATTAACTGATGATATTTAAAAAATTAAAACTAAAAAGGGGCTGATAGAAAATAATGTTGCTAGTTTTCATTTTGTTGAGTTATAAATGAGCCACAAATACTCCAGAAGTTGAATACAATTGAAAGCCACAGACAAGAGTTCTAAAACTAAACCAATGCATACTAGACTTACCCACTAAAAGTTAGACAAGTCAAGAAAAATTGACTAAATATTATATTAAACAAGTTTTGGAAAGGGAAAGGATTCTCTAAAATCTAATACTAAATTCCTACTAAAAAGGGACCGAAACATATAAATTCACTCATAAACAATCTAAACAAAATAAAGTAAATATGTGATTTCTTATGAAAAATAAACAATTGTAGACAAATCCTTACTCCAACTTGAATAAAACGAGAAATTCTTCTTAGGGTAAGTTTCAAAAATAAAAACAGAGAACTATAACAGAGGAAGAACAAATTTGAAGAACAAATACCAAACAAAGCATAGGCTTTTACAAAAAATACAAAAAGGGACACTCAAGCAAATGTAATCTGGAAAAGAACTGATTGTAAAAAGAATTGTTGAGTCGTAGCAACAAACTACTACCAGAAACAAAAATCAAGATTTCACAAACCTGCAAAAATGGGTTGTTGAGAAATATTAAACAAAGGTTAACTTAGAAGATATATAGAGAAAAAAAGTGTGTTTACTTGTCATGAGATGAGTAGTAGATTTTTAGTTTGATATTCTCCCCAAATCTGCAAAATATTAGTTTAGATAACCTATCTTAGGAAAGATAAAAGTAAATTGTTGATTTAGTTTCAGTATGCATACCTTCGTTTATGGAGATTTAGGAGATTTAGGGTTTATACTTTCTTTGAGGAGTGAGGGAGATAAGCCTTGAGAGAAATCAGGAGACTTAGCTTTTCTTAAAAGTTAGAGTAAATTTTTTTTTAAGTTTTATTCCAATTTGGTGTGGCGCCACTTCTCGCGCGGCAAATATGCATAATTAAGGACCATATATCAGAACTAATTTTATTTTGTTATAAATATAACTCAAAATAACAATATCGAACAAGGAAAAACAAGCTAAGATATATAAATAGAAAGAGAGGAAGAGAGATTCTTATTTCTTCTTCAATTGTGTGTTTTTCCTAACTATTACAAGGCCTTTATATAGGCATGAAAAGTGAATAAAAATATGTCATTAAATATGTCATTAAGCATTTGAGAAGATCATGGAGGAAGAGTAGACATCCAACTTATTGATTTCTCTTATAACATTCCCCCTTGGATATCCATAGATAATGTGCCTCGCTAAAATCTTATTAGGAAAAAATCCTATTGAAAAAAAAATCATAGTGAAGGAAAAAGAGTACACATGTTTAGAAATACGCATTTTGGTTGCCTCGTTAAAAACCTTGCAAGAAAAATCCAGTGGGACAAAACCTTGTAAGGAAAAAAGAGTACAACGCGTATTAACTCCCTCTGATGAGAGCATCAATTCACATCCTTGAGCTTTCGCATCCCAATCTTGTACACTAGTTTCTTGAAGGTTGACATCGGTAGAGATTTGGTGAACAAATCAGCCATATTATCACTTGAACGGATCTGTTGCACATTGATATCACCATTCTTTTGAAGATCATGTGTGAAAAATAACTTTGGTGAAATGTGCTTTGTCCTATCCCCTTTTATGAATCCTCCTTTCAATTGGGCTATGCATGCTGCATTGTCTTCATACAAAATTGTGGGTAATTTATCACACTTCAAACTACACTTGTCTCGAATAAGGTGTATTATAGACCGCAACCATACACATTCTCGACTTACTTCATGAATAGCAATTATCTCAGCATGATTAGATGAAGTAGCCACTATTGATTGCTTAGTCGATCGCCAAGATATGGCAGTGCCTCCATATGTAAACACATAGC